GGATAAATAGGTAGCCAGTCCACCATGGGAGAAGAAAGCAGAAGCAGAAGCAGGAATGAGGTGGGATCTGTAAGAAGGAGGTTAAAATGTTTTCCCTTTTATAAAGCTCATTTACTTATGGGGAAAGAAAAGAGATAATCATTTATTTTCATGAATTGATTTATTCGTTGCTCTATTCATCCGATCAATAAAAAGTTTATGGAAGACTGATTGTGCTGGGCACATCCAGATGAATTTACTTAACAAACATTTGTGGAGCAATTACTATTGCCAAACAGTGCTCTAGGTGCTGGGGCCAGAACTGAAAAGTAAAATCAGGCAATGCCACGGACTTCTATAGTTACTCCTAGATCAATGGGGGAAATAGACATGGAAACAAAAAAATATAATGGAAGACAGTAAGTGTTAAAATAGAGGTGCTATGGGAACCCAGAGGAAAATGCATCTGAATTTAGCTGAGGTGATGGTGACCTGGGAATCATAACAAAGCCTGTATTTTTGCTATGTGCCAAACGCTGTGCTCAGCATTTGCAAAGCCTATGATATTTAATCTCACAGCCGCTCTACGCAGTTATTTTCCTCACTTTGTATTGAGGAAATTAGAGCAGAGAAAGGTTAGTTTTCTCAGAGTTGCTTAGCTTGTAAGAGGTGGAGCCACTTTTGAACCTGAGCCTGGCAAATTCTGAAACCCATACTCTTTCCTCAGTGTGCCATGCTGCCTTCCACTACACAGAAGAAGGTGTTGGGTTGGATCTTGAACTATAAGTAGGAGTGGGCTGAAGGGTAAGGTGCAAACACCTTTTAGGTTTATAAACAGTGTGTACAAAAGCATGAGGAGGGAACAAACAGGTTGCATTTAGGGAACGGTTGTGAACAAGGACAAATTAAATTAAGTTGTGACAGACAATCCCCAAATCTCAGTGACTTAACACACAAAAATCAGTTTCCCACTTACACACTGGTCCAAGCAGATAGGCAGTGGGTTTTATTCCATATTGTCACTCAAAGACCCATGAGGCCACTCAGGAAAAAAAGAAAAAAATCTAGAGAATCATGAACGGGCTTTTTTCCCCCTGCCTCAGCTTGGAAGTTTCACACACCAGTTCCCTTCCAAGCCCACTGACCAGCTGTCACATGGCTTCAATGACCGGCAATAAGCTGGGCAGAGTATGGGTGGTAATGAAGTATAGCGTGAGTGTTACTGTCTGCTGCATATTGCATTGACTTTAAATTTTTTTCAAGTTTTTTTTTTTTTTTTTGGTTGTTATTGTTTTTTAAAAGTGAAGGTAGAATGCATCAAAATAAAAAATTCTGGTTCCTGCCCTTGGTGACTGGCATGATTTTAACTTGTCTCAGGTAAATTCTCATTGAAGGATTTTTGGAGGGACTGGTAGATTAGTGTTAGGCCAAACCACGGTTTCAAACCTTTCAGAGCTGGTAGAGAGGAACAACTTTTCAGAACAAACCTTCCTTAGGTCCAGAACTGACCCACTGTGCTCCATGGAACACAGATTAACCTGGAGCAGGCCACACCTCTTGGGCATTTATATAATTTATGAGAAGCATGGTGCATGAAAATTCATGCATTGGAGTATGGGTACTTCAGCCCAGCCTGCCTCCTCTCACAGTCTGGGAGCCCTCAGGGGCGGGAGGTGAGCCGGTGATCAGGGAAAGGTGATGCCCCCATCACCCCTCTGCTGCTGCCACTGCTGGCAGCGGAAACCTCAGCAGGCCCTGTTACCTGAGCTTCAGTGGCCCTGGGCAGCTCGGCAGCCATCATCTGAGGCATGCCTGTGCCTCAGGCCGGCCCTGGGTGGCTGGGGGCTGAGGGGACTAGGGGACTTTGGAGGTAGGCAACATGGAGCGGCCAGACCTGCCTGGGGGTGGGCCCAGCTGTGCCGTGTGCCTGCTCCTCACTCCCCGACGGGGCTGAGGGGACTGGGCACTGCCATCTTATGGCTATGGGCACTGTCATATTTGAGGGCGTGGCAGTCAATTAGCATATTGCCTCCTTATTGGTTGTGGGTGCTGCTGTCTTTGGGAGGGTGTGATGGTCAATTAGCATATTCTCTTTATTAGATAGGATACATTCAGGGTATTTTATATAATTTCACTGAAAGCTTTTCTTTCTTTCTTTTTTTTTTTTTTTTTTTCTTAAGAAATTTATTCTCTCTCAGTTCTGAACATTGAAGTCAAGGCATTAGCAGTCCATACTCCCTCTAAAGCAGTGATTCTCAATCTTTCTAATGCTGTGACCCTTTAATACAGTTCCTCATGTTGTGGTGATCCCCAACCATAAAATTATTTTCATTGCTACTTCATAATTAATTTTGCTACTGTTATGAATTGTAATGTAAATATCTGTGTTTTCTGATGGTCTTAGGCGACCCTGCTACCTGTTTTCAACCTGTGGGTTGTGACCAACAGGTTGAGAACCGTTGCTGAGCCTAGAGTTTGGAATTACCTGTCAGGGGAAGGAGAAGGGGAGGGGCAGAGAAAAGGTAAGGGTGTGCTCCCTGGAGAAAGAGCTTGCCACGTGTGTGTCTTTGTCTTTGTGTGTTCTCCCCCCTCTTTTTTTAAATTAATAAACCTTTATTGTTCATATTATTACAAATGTTCCTTATTTTTCCTCCCTCCATTGCTCCTCTCCACCAGGTTCCCATCCCACCCTCTGCCCTTTCCCACCCCCCATTGTCCTCATCCATAGGTGCACAGTTTATGTTCAGTCTCTTCCCACACCCCCGACTCCCCTTTTCCCTGAAAATCGTCAGTTCACTCCCCTTCCATACCTCTGATTTTATTATATTCAACAGTTAATATTGTTCATCAGATTTTTTTAAATTCCCTTGGTTTTTAGATTCACTTGTTGATAGTTATGTATTTGTTGTTCATAATTTTTATCTTTATTTTCTTTCTCTTCCGAAAGAACCCCCTTCAGCAATTCATATAATTCTTGTTTGGCAGTGATGAACTCCTTTAGCTTTTTTTTATTTTATTAGTGAAGCTCTTTATCTGGCCTTCGATTCTGAGTGATAGCTTTGCTGGGTAGAATATTTTTGGCTGTAGGTTCTTACTATTCATCACCTTGAATATTTCTTGCCATTCCCGTCTGGCCTGCATGGTTTCTGTTGAGAAATCAGCTGACAATTGTATGGGTGCTCCTTTATAAGTAACTACCTACTTTTCTCTTGCTCTTGGAATTTTAATTATGATGTGTCTTTGTGTGGTCCTCTTTGGATTCCTTTTGTTTGGGGTTCTGTGCACTTCCTGGACTTGTAAGTCTAATTCTTTCACCAGGTGGGGGAAGTTTTCTGTCACTATTTCTTTCAGTATGTTTTTGGTATCTTGCTCTCTCTCTTCTTCTGGGGCCCCCATAATTCTGATGTTGGTTCATTTGAAGTTGTCCAGAGGTTTCTTACACTATCTTCAACTTTTTAGATTCTCTTATCTTCTTGCTTCTGTAGAGGAGTGTCCTCTGGCTCTTTGTGTTTCAAATCTTTGACTTGATTCTTGCAATCTTCCCTTCTGTTTTTAGGACTCTGTATAATATTTTTATTTCAGACAATGTATTCTTTATTTCTTGTTGATTCCTTATTATTTCTTATTGATCCCTTACTATTTCTAGTTGATCCCTTTTCATATCCTCATAGGTCTCGTTTATTTTATTGGCCTTTTCTAGGAAATTCTTGAAAAACCTTATAAGCATGGTTTTGAACTCCATATCCAGTCGCTTTTTGTCCTCCATTTCTTTTGTTTGTGATCTGTTTCCTTGTCTCGGCATTTTCGCAGCTTCCCTGAGTTGGTAGCCTTAAAAGTCTCTGTGTTCAGCTTGGATAGGGCTGAGTTTCAGGGTGGAGCCTACAGCCTTGGCTTCCGTCAGCCCCACCCTCTGATGCTCCTGAGTCTCAGTGTTCCTCAGTGTCCTTTGGTACTCGCTGCAAGCACCTCTGAGAGTAAGGTGCCCCCGAGTTTCGCCCGCTACCAAACAGTCTAGGCTCTCCCCTAACGAGCCCGGAACTGGGGTTCAGTTCAGTTGGAAGTGGGGTTCAGAGCAGTCTGGAGCTTCTGTTTCCTTCCTTCTAGGGCAATCTAGCAGCAGAGTCAAAGGTCTGTTCTCTGTGCGCAATGTGCACGCCTCCGGGACTTCCTTTCACCGCTCCCCTGGGTTTCCGCCTAACAGCCCAGGCTCCCTCTTTAGGAGCCTGGGTCCCCAGGGTCTAGAACTGGGGTTCAGCACTGTCGGATCTGTGGTTCAGCATAGTTCAGAGCTTTTACCTCCTTCTCGCTAGGGAATGCCAGCCAGGCACTCGGCCTCTCCTTCCTCTCCGGCTCTGTCCTCTCCACGTGCGCACCGTGTCTCTGTACCTTAGGCTTTTATAGCTCCTTTGCTTTTCCTTCTGGTTTTCTCCTTGCTTCTCGTTGTAGAATTTCCAGTCAGTCGACTTTCCTGTAGTTCTGGGTAATGTCAATTTTTTATTTTAGTTGTATTTTATTGATATTGTTGTGCAGTTAGGTGTTACCTATGCCGCCATCTTGGATTCTCCTGAAAGCTTTTCTTAAAACTGACTGTGATTAATCAGTTTTAAAATGAAAATGGAAATGATTTTTTAATTCATGTGATTATGAATCTCTTATTAGGTTATTTAATAGTAAATAATTAGGAAAAACTCAAGCAATTCTAAAATTATACTTCCTATGGTACACTACTATATTTTGATAAAATATTCCATATTCCAAAGCTGTGTGCAATTTTTTTGTTAGAAGGATAAAGGAGCTAGCAAGAGATTGGAGGAATTAATAACTGGATTATTTGTATTAAAAACCTCCTCTTACCAGATTCGTGATTAATCCTTCAGGAGTTTTTTTTGTTTTTTTTTTTAAGTGGTGTGCTTTCTTTATTCCAAATTTGTATCAAAATTTGGTTTTTAATCTTATTTTAAGAACAGCAAAAGGACAAAACAATTCTTAGGTGCTTACCATCAGTTAATCCCGTTTTCCAGGTAAGAAAGCAAATAGCTGAGAAGCTAAGTAACCTGGCCAAGGCATCAAGCTGGAATTCGAATCCAGGCTGACGGGTTTACTTGTTCAGTAGACAAAGTGAGTGCAGGCAGCAGGGTAACTGACACGAGGGGAAGTGAAAAATATTCTTTATCCTTATGGTTTGTATTTAAATCTGGGCTATCAAGTAAGGTTTCCAAAGAAATGCTCTTTATTTTCCTAATCTGCTCATGTGAGAAATGTTCTTGCATACCTTGTGCTTCCTTTTTTAATTCCCTGAAGCACTGCAAGGGTGGGTGGGCTGGACATATTAACAAGTCATAACATGCAGTCAGCCATGACAGGCCTTTAGTGTCCTGCATCAGCTTCCCAGGAGCCAGAGGGGTGGCTCCATTTGTACTTCCAGTTCATGTTGCCACCAACTGGAGGGAAAAATGTATTGGGAACACACTGTGTCCATCATTTAAAGACAAAGCCATCTTAATCTCTTTTTAATAACATAATGATCTCATTAGACTAAGTTTTACAACAGGAAGTGCAATGCAGTAGTGGTGAATAGAATTTTTAATAGACTATTTTTTTTTGGAGCAGTTTTAGGTTCATAGCAAAAGTAAGCGGAAAGTACAGAGAGTTCCTATATGCACCCTGTCTTGCCACATATATATAGCTTTCCCCATAATCAACATCCTGCATCATAGAGGTACATTTGTTGCAATTGATGAACCTACTTTGACATATTATTATTGACTCCAATATAGATTTTTTTTTCACTTGAAAGATCTAATTGTCTGATTCAAAATGTCCCAACCATGCAAGTGGTAAATTCATTGTGGACATTCAGACTAAGCATTCTGAAATGTAATCTTTACTTAGAAATACATAATCCCAGGATATTCAAAGAGTTTCAGAAGATTTTGGTAAATTTTTTTTCCTGAAATGGCTTTATAATTTTTCGATTGTTTCACCCCTGATTTATCATTGAAAATTAAAAATCCACTGGGGCGGGAAAGGATGGATTGGCAGGGCTGCCAGAAAACTAGGCCTGTGTGCAGACGGACTCTAACCCTGACGAACCCTGACCCATACTCGTTGTCATAAGGTCATCAGAAGGAGATTTTCTCTTCCAACACAAGTTGGAAAATAGAAACTTGAAATTCAGTTTGAAACCAGCAGAAAATGTGTTAGACATAATAACATGAATAGTTAATATTTACTAGTCACATAGCATTTGTACTATGTGCCAGACACTGTGAAAAGCCTTTGCACATGTTATCTCATTGAATTCTCACCAGCATCCTGTGAGATAGGGATGATTATGATTTCACCTAACAAATGAGTAAAGGTCACACCAAACTGGTAGAAAGCAGAGCTGGGATTTAACATCGAGTGTTGGAGAGTAGGGTAACTGGTTTATCAATCTCCAAATCACAGCGACGTGACACCATGAAATTTGTTTTTTGCTGGAACAAAATGACGGGTGGCTCGTCCTCATCGGGTGGCTCTCTTGGGCAGCTCAGCTCTAAGCACTGACAGAGCACAGGCCCCTTCTCTCTTGTAGCTTGAACAAGTTGTAGCTTCAAGATCTTCCCATCATTGGGGCGATAAGAGATCAATGGAAGGACTTGTATGCATGCATAACCAATGTATGCAAAACTCTGGGGAGGGAGGGCATGCATGGGAGGGGGGAATTGGTAAGATATGTACACATATAATACCTTAATAAAAAGATGGGGAAAAAACCTAAAAAAAAAAAAAAATCTCCCCATCATCAACCCTCTCCTTGAGTGATGGAAATAGAGCATGGAAGACTGAATGGGATGTTTCATGGCCAGACCTGAAAGCAGTGACACAGCTTATGCCCACATTCCATTGGCTAGCACTCAGTCTCGTGGTCCCACCTACATGCAGGGAAACCTAGGACATGTAGTTTAGCTTTACGTTCCAGGAGAAGAGACAGTCTATAAGTCTGTGAACCTAAGAAGTCTCTCCATCACAGGTTTGTCTGACGCTAAACTCGTAAGCACTAGAATCTGCTGCAACTCTTTTGTCCCCTAATCTTTGATCAAAAAGTAGTAGTCAAGTCTCTCTGACTTAACACCGCATGACGTAAGTCCATATGGGAGTTTAAACAGTAACAAGAAGTGGCATAATGCAGCCATTGTGTCCTGGGAGCTAATTCTACACTCGAAGACCTATTTATTAACCAGGGGACCTTGGGAAAGTTTGTGAATGTCTGTCTGCTTTGTCTCATATTTTCCTTTGCGTGTTTCACAGATTGCTATGATCGATAGTCAGAGGAAACGGTTTATGTAGAAACACTTTGTAAAAGGTAAAATGATACACAAATGTCAGATGTGGTTGATGTGGCTATTATTGTTACTTTCTAAGTGCCAATATGACTGATATCGATCATAACCACTCTAATGCTGGTGGACGAGAAGTCCCTGTGTGTTGGGATGGTCAGGGAATGCTCTATGGGGGCGTTGACATTTGAATCTGATCCGGAAGGAAAAGTAGGGAGAGGGCTTTCAAGGTAGGGGGCATGGGACCACCAGACAAGGAGGTGCTGGAAGGAGCCATATGCCGTGTGACACTGCGAGATCTGCTTGTCCTTAAAGTAAGGTGACCAGACGTCCCGCTTCTGGCTGGACAGTCCCGATTTCAAACAATTTGTCCCGCGTCGTCCTGCGCCGTTTTAAAATAGTCCCGATTTTTGGAAAGAATGCACGACAAGCTAGGGAACAGAGGGAGAACAGGAAGGGAATATACGGTTTTCGGCGGCCATGTGGCTATTTAGCCAGGATATGAGTTTTATATTATTTTTGTTTATTTTATAATGTTAAACTTTAATAATATCAAATAATTGTTGAGAACTGATTATCGAGAACTGCTTATCAAAGTTTGCATGGTTGATCAGTTGTTAGAATTCGACCACCATTGTTTGGACTTAATGAACAATGGCATTTTTTGGGATTGGCAACGACAAAAACATTTTGTAACTGTTTCTCAGATGATACACATAGTACTGCATGCTAGTAAGCTAGTTAAACAAGTGATGTCATTACAAATCAGCTATTCAGATAATTTAGGTAATTTATTTATTTATTTCATAAATACATACATTTTCTTAAATTTAGCAGACAATACTTGTATTATTTATATTTTATAGTGGCAGCAAAAAGTCTAGCGCCGGCCTTGAAAGTGACACGACTATACATAATTTTTATTTTATTTACTATATTTGTAAATTGTACTTATGTTGAAATTAAAAAAAATATATTAGAATACTATTTTTGCGTTCTATGAACATTTTTGTTGCTCCATATAGACCAAATTTTTAATCAAGGACACTCCCCCACCCCTCAAACCCCCCATCCCGCCTGGGTCAATGGTATCCCGCTTTGCCAAAGTTAAAATCTGGTCACCTTAAGAAGTTTTGGGTGTGCCCAGGTCCTATTCATTCTCTCATTCCTGTGATTTAGCATATCAAGACCTGGGTAAATTAAGGTCCTATTCGTTCCTCATTCCAAGCACACGGATAAAGATAAGAAATCGGTACTGATAACGGTCTCCCACATTTTGGGGGAAAATGTTCTCAGGGCATGTGTGCTGTGCCTAAACCTCGAGTTCAGCTGATGATAATTAGAGGTCATCCATGTGCATTCCCAAAGGGCCCTCCACAGTGTTGAGATTCTTCACAGCCTTTCCTCCAACTACTCCAAAGCCTCTGTGGAAAGAGCAGCCCAGATCCCATAAGTCACCAATCCTCAGTGAAGAAAATAAGTAGACAGCTCATGAGAAAGTTTATTTGCATTAAATAAAACTATAACATTTTGCAAAGAAAAGAAAAGATTCCTTAAGCTCAGAGTCCTTCTTGTACAGGAGTTAACTGGCCTTTTCACATTGCCCTGTGAAAAGTAGGTCTTGGGGAACTATCTTTTTTTTTTTTTTAAATGCAGATACCTCAGCTACTTCTGTTGCTGTGATTAGTAAACTGTTTTTGTTTCTGACGCTGATGTAATAGGCTAACTTGTTAACTTGCATGTAGGGTAAAACTCAGACCCATTACAATTCTTTTTTCTTTTTTCATTTTTTTAAATATATTTTATTGATTTTTTTATAGAAAGGAAGGGAGAGAGATAGATAGTTAGAAACATCGATGAGAGAGAAACATCGACCAGCTGCCTCTTGCACACCGCCTACCGGGGATGTGCCTGCAACCAAGGTACATGCCCTTGACCGGAATCAAACCCGGGACCTTTCAGTCCACAGACCGATGCTCTACCACTGAGCCAAACTGGTTTTGGCCCATTACAATTCTTGACAGAGCCTGTCTCCAGGAGAGATTTCACTGAACAATACCAAATACCAGGTATGTACATAGAGCCCAAGGGCACAGCTCTTACCTACGAGGAACTGCCAGTGTACAGGTTAGGAGCTTACTAGTTTGGTAGTAAAGTCCTCACCTATCAGTGGCAAAAGATCTTGGAACTGTGGCAGAACGACATATATTGAAATCAATTTTATTATAGGCTAATTCATATAAACCGGAGTTAAATTCCTAGGGCATCTCAGCTATGTTATAACAAAATGACATGGACTTGCGGACCTGCTGTAGTAGAGTTTTATGTAGCTAAATCTTCAAGCTGGTGAACACAAAGAAGAAGGTCAAACTCAGACTAATAAAAGTCTAGCCATAATTGTGATGACAGCATAACAGGGTGGAGACTATATGGTTTTAGTCCTCTGAGAACAGGTGTATTCTCTAGAGATGCAGGAGCTGAGAAACACAGAGGTACATGGAGACCTGAAGGCTTTAACACAGTACCCTTCAATCCTCAGCTGCCAAGAAAGGAGGTTGCTTTTATTTTATTTTTAAAATATATTTTATTGATTTTTCACAGAGAGGAAGAGATAGGGATAGAGAGTTAGAAACATTGATGAGAGAGCATCATCGATCAGCTGCCTCCTGCACACCCCCTACTGGGGATGTGCCCACAACCAAGGTACATGCCCTTGACCGGAATCGAACCTGGGATCTTTCAGTCCGCAGGCCGATGCTCTATCCACTGAGCCAAACCTGTCCCGGCGAGGTTGCTTTCAGATGGACTTGTTCTTTCTATAGCTCTTTCCTGAGTGAAGTGTTCTGGAGGGTGACAGTGAGGAGTACCACATTCTCTCCCAGAGATCAAAGGGTGCGTCTGCTGTGCAGACACCTGGTGCTGCTGGTAAGAGGGATTTATAACTCGGGGATTTCATCTAGGATGGCAGACATGATGTTAAATGTGGGCGCAACCAACAAACAAAACTATTGTGAAAAGCAGGAAGTCACATTAGATGGAGAAGGACCTACACCTCCAAGGCTGTGATCTCTGAAACAGATTTGTCCTCAGGTACAGAGCCCAAGAGATTGGATTTAAAAAAATATATATTTTTATTGACTTCAGAGAGGAAAGGAGAGGGAGAAAGATACAAAAACATCGATGATGAGAGAGAATCATTGGTCATTTGCCTGCTGCACGCCCCCGTGAGCCCGCAACCTGGGCAACCCTAGGCAAGTGCCCTGACCGAGAATAGAACTGGGACCTCTTGGTTCATAGGTTGACACTCAGTCGGTGAGCCGCACCAGCAGGTGGGACTAAAGTTTTTAATAGGTAGAAGACCCTCTAAAGTATGAAACCGAGGGTGGGAGCTTGTCTGGCTCATGTCTACAAGTGGTACTGTTCTTGTGGATGGGTGATTGCTCTACTTCTGACCAAAGCTTGGGCCAGGGACGTAGACTAGAGACCTTGAAGTCTAGTGGCTACCCTTCTTGCCCCTAAGATGCAGCACAGTGATGAGTCTGCCATCATCATCAGAGGCCCTGAGCTAGCTACTGTGTGGGAGTATATAACACAGGTCCCTGATTCTTTTTTTTTTTTTTTTTAATAAATCTTTATTGTTCATAATATTACAAATGTTCCTCTCTCTCCCCCTCCCTCTGTTGCTCTCCTCCACCAGGTTTCCACCCCACCATCTGCCCTTTTCCTACCCCCCATTGTCCTCATCCATAGGTGCACAGTTTATGTTCAGTCTCTTCCCACATCCCCCTCTCCCCTTTTCCCCAAGAATCAT